GTGTGAGAGAGAGTGTGTGTATTCATGTCCAATGTGGCCAAAGCACAATCTTACCTTCAGATGATTCCCAGACAGCCATTCCACACATTTAGTGATTTTACAGGTTTCAAGAAGTCAAGCTGCCATAGAAGTAAAAAGACAAGTAGAAGTGACAAAAAATTTGCAAAGCAGAGTGTTTGTTTGTCAAAGACAGATGGATTTCAACTTCAACATAAGTGCTGTTCTCTGCAAACTCTCAAACTCTGCAAGGAAAGTGACACATACGTGTGTGAAGTTTGCTTATGAAATGCTATTGAACACTCTGTAAGAAAATGTTACTTTTTTGTAGCAGACAACATTTGTGGTTGTAGTTCTCTATTTCTGTAGTAAACAGAAAGGCATATGCCTCCGTAAAGCTTGACTCTAAGAAACCTAGGAGCTCTGGTAGCATAGTGGCTAAGTCACTTGCCTGCTAACCAGACGGCTGGCGGTTCAAACCCACCAGCCACTCCTCGGAAGGAAGGTTGGGCAATCCTACTTCCGTAGTGATACTGCCTCGAAAACCCAAGGAGGGGTCGCTATGAGTCAGGCCGACTCGACGGCACATAACAACAACAACAAGAAACCTAAGGTACATAATTCTTACAAAGGTCAAAAGTGATTTAAAACAAGTTAAACCTTATGAGATGGATTTTTAGAGATTTAATTTTAAATGCTGCTAAGGATTTATTAAACTGTTCTCTTTATGAGTATCTGCATACCGGCTTTTAATGAACATAACTCACAAATATTTTCAACTAATGTTTTTTCTTCCATGTTGCATTCTATGATACTCTGATTCTATCATTCCTTCTTCATTCATGAGTTAGGCTACTTCTGCTACAAGAAACTTGTCTCTTCTTTGATTACTCGGTGGTTCAGTTCAGATAGAAAAGACAGGAAAAAAACATTTGATTCTTCCCTTTATTGACCAGTTTTCAAAATAACGAACCGGTTTCTGCAAAGGTGGCCAATCCCTTTTTCAAGCGTCGTTATAAACCCATGAGTTCAAACATGTTTGCTGTGTTTTCGTTTGTCACAGTTCCTATTTTTATCTCTGTTCAGATGGCTCCATCTTTGGCCTTTTGATCGACTCCTATATCCTTCTGAAATGACCTTAGCAATCTTTGATAGCCAATGATTTCCTTGCTTTCTGGTTTGACAAGATGTTCCAGGCTCATCTTGTCTGTTTTCTGCCTCAAACCTGGGAAACTGGGCTTTGAAAGGGTATAAATCTGCAGTTATTTGTGAAGCTTAAGTACCCAAAATACTTTAAGTCTCAATACCTAGCCCAAAGTTTGGCTCGCAAATGTTGGTTGGCTGACTAAATCAATGACTATGACCTTCGTTAGGTTTTAAGTTCTCTTGAGGTCAGAGACCGAATACATATATCCTTACACCTTCCATCGATCTTTGTAACTTCCTGTGGCTAAATTAAATCCCATCCCTGTGCCTACTACAGAGCTACATAGCAGTTGCAAAGCAGTATTTGTTGACTAGATAAATGGATACAGGAGCAGCAGCGATTTGGTGGTACCACTGAGGGCTCAGGCAGGCAGGGCCCTGATGTTTGGTGTTACATCACCACCCTCTGGTGGGGAAGAATAGGGACATTGTTGCTAATGCTCTGAAATCCCCTTACAGGACCAGTTGCCATCGGTCACCTCATGGTGACCCTATGAGTGTCAGAGGAAACTGTGCTCCACAGGGTTTTCAATGGCCGATATTTTTTTCAGAAGCAGATGAACAGGGCTTTCTTCCCAGGCACCCCTGAGTGGCTTGAGCCACTCAAAGTTTCAGTTGGCAGGGAGCACGTTAACCATTCGCCCCAGCCAGGGACGCCCCAAATCCCCTAGTGCCATGGTTTTCTAACTATAGGTTCCCATCCGTCAGTGAGCTGTGAAATCAATTCAGTGGGTCATGACCAGCCTTTTTTAAAATTGAATTGAACTCACACATTAAAGTTAGAGGCAAACACTGGCGTGAAATTTGCTTCAGCTATTTATTATTTCTATACTTGTTAGCACATATATTCAGTGATATGTTACCTAATACTTCGATGTGTGTACTGAATCACAATTAAAAGTTGATTGGGAAATGTTTAACAACTAGCTCTCTGGAGGAGAATGTATAAGTACATACGTTTATCACAAATTTTTTCTTGATATAGAGAATGTATAGCATGTAATTTACAAATAATAAAATGTGCAAGTACTCTTTGTTGTAAATCCATGTAGCCAATTGATTCTCAGTCAATAATTTTCACCAGAGTCTTGTGTTCACAGCTAACCTAGGCTTTCAATTCAACTATGTTTCAACAAATGGAGTTGCATCCCAATCTATTCAATCAACAAAACAAATTACGCTCTGACTTGTAGCATTTGCCGATTTCCTTAGTGTAATTACTCCCACCATAGCTGATTGGAAGCGACCAGTATGACATCACTGACTAGGGACTTGGGAAGAGAGGCATGGGCGCATACATCACAGCATATTTCTGTCTTACAGATACAATGCTGATTTTGTTAGTTGCCCTTGGATCCATTCCTACTTCTGGTGACCCCTTCTGACCCTATCTGTGCAGAGTAGAACTGCTCCACAGTTTTCAAGGCTGTGACCTTTCAGAAGGCCTGTCTTCCAAGGGGCCTCTAGGTGAGTTTGAACTGCCAACCTTTCAGCTAGTAGTCGAGCACTTAACTGTCTGCACCACCAGGGGCTCCTTACAGATGCAATAGGCATAAGTAACCCCAAGAGCATAGATAATATTAAAAGGTACTAAAATAATTAAGAAATGATGAGTTGTGTTTATCTGCATTTAATTTGGTTTATATATTTAATTTTTAATAAACAACTTGCAAAATTCCTAAAAATCTAATAATTGGCTCTTGTAGACTGCTGGGACCGGCTCCAACACACACAGCACTGGGATCACAACATAAACATCACCTAATACTGATTGAGGGAAAAACAAAAGTTGAAAACTGCTCTAGAGACCGCAACAACTGGTCCCCGTAGGGTTTCCGAGGCTGTAAACCTATACAGAAGCAGACAGCCACATGTTCTCCCACAGAACAGCTGGTGGATTCAAACCTCTCACCTTTGGGTTAGCAGCCAAGTTGTTAACTACTGCAGTACCAGGGCACTTTAACAATTAGGTCTGGGCTTAACCAGTTCTTCAAAAATCTCTAGGAATGAGGCTGCAAGGTCTCAAATGAAACAAACCTGTTTCCTTTCTGAAGAAATACGTATAATCCCCGAACCTTTCAGATGATACCTTTGTGATTGTCCCTCTGGGTGACGTCTAGCATTTCTCTTCACCCAGCACCCTTTCTCCTTTTCTTAAGGAGGGATCTGTACTGGGTTTTTATTGGGGGAACCACTCAGCTGATAAGAAGTGCAGCTAGGACTTAAACCCAGCCTCCCTGTTCTTAACCGTTGCTCTGTTTGCTACGAAGATAACAATAATTGAGCAGCTGCCATCATTCAGGAGATAGGGTTGGTTTCAGCCTACTACTTACAAGCTACTTTCACAAACAACAAGGAGCTCCAGTGGGGCGCTGGTTAAAGCACTTGGCTGCTAACCAAAAAGTTGGTGGTTCCAACCCACCGGCTGCTCTGCAGGAGAAAGACAAGGCAGTCAGCTTCCTGTAAAGACTTCCAGCCTTGGAAACCCTATGGGGCACCTCTGCCCTATCCTGTAGGGTCACTGTGAATTGGAATTGATTCAATGCAATGCGTTTTTTCACAAATAATGCTTTTAGGCTTTGTAACCTTTATTTCCAATCATGAGAAGCCAAACTGGTAATGTCTCCACTATATTTTCTTTTTTAAACCTAGATTTTTGAAGTTCCAGAGACATCTTGATGTGCTATGTAGGGACTCTGATCACATAAATGCAGTTTACAGATATGAAGATCATCTTGAGATGATTTTAAGGAATTATTTTATTCTCACTAATTTGTTGAATCTCTACATGAGTCTTTATAATATGATATATTTTAATATATATTTATAATACATATGTCTATAATCAGTCCATTACAGGCATAAACCAGCCCAGTGTTTCCCAAAGTGTGGTAACGATTCCTGGTATACAGACACGAGGTTATTTTAGGAAGTTCAGACATAATATTTTAATAGAAATTTTTCATTTGCAATAGAACACATGTAACTGGCACACAGAATCTATGATTTCAAGGATTTTTTTTCTTGGGAAACTAATAGTTTTTAAGTTTTAAATGTGTGTTGTTTTAAAGAAAAATATTAAGTAAATAGTAGTATTAGGGGTATATGGATGTAGCAAAAGCAGTTAAGGTGGCAAAGGCATGACTCAAGGTTGGGAAACACTTGACATGACTAAGGGTGAGGAGGTTTAACTGTGACAAACTGAGAGACTCAGTCACCAACACCCTCATCAGGTCTCCATTAAACTGCACGGTCCAGCATTTTCATCCCACACAAATAGCTGCTTTAAAAGAGAACATTAATGTAATATTTAATGAATTGATTTTCTAATGAAACCTAACCTCATGTCCCTGTACCTGAATCACCACAGCGAACCACTATTCATGAAAGTAACTCTTGGCAAAATCTTATCTTGTCTCCCCCATTTTACAAGTAAGAAAACTAAGGCTAGAATAGAGGAAATGTCTTTGCCAAGGTAAAGGGGAGATTAACTGATGCTGTAACCACTGCGCCTACAATGCGGAGGCTTTTTTTTTTTTTTTTTTCCCACTCTCCAGCAAACATTCACACCAGCGCTTGCTCCCAGAGCAAAGCAGGCGGCAGAGGGTGAGATTCAAACCAGCCATATACAGAGGGTAGTCGCCTGCTGGCAAGGGCTCAGAGAAAGGGGAGGAAAAAAGCAGGGAGCTCAAAGATGAGCGCGCTGCAGTGCCCGCCAATGAGCAGAAGAGGGCGCGCGCGGGCTCCGGAGCGGGGAAGCTGCGCCAAACGGTGGGGGCCCGCGAGCCGCACGCCTGCGCTCGAAGAGAGGCGGGGACACCAGCCCGGGCGAAAGACAGGACGGTGGCCGAGAGGGCCCGGGAAGGCGGACGGTGGCCGACGAGGTCGGACATGGATCATCTGGAGCGCTGCGCGTGGTTCCTCAGGGGTACGCTGGTGCGGGCTGCCGTGCGGCGCTACTTGCCCTGGACGCTGGTGACGTTCATGATAGGGGGCTCCCTCCTCAAGGAGCTCTCTCCGCTGCCCGAGAGCTACCTCAGCAACAAGCGCAACGTCCTCAACGTGTGAGTCAGCCCCGGGTCCTCCTCTCCCGTCCCCGCCGTCGCGAGCCCCGCCGTCGCGATAGGCGGGCGCAATGTCTTGCGGAAGTCCTGCTGACGGGACGACTCGTGCACAGGAGCCAAGGGTTAGCTTCCCAGATGGACAGGCCGTTTGGCGGGGGGGGAGCCCTTCTCCCAGGTCGTGACAGCAGCATCTCGCACGCGTGTCACGACTAGGAGCCCTGCATAATAGCTAGCGTTACTAGGAATCCATGTCTGCACACCCAGACAAAGTAGCCTGAGCTTGACTGGGCACGATTGCTCGGACGTCCGCATGTGCGTGTAGGGTGTGTGTCAGGGGCAGGTGGGACGGGTGGACATAGAAGCAGCGTCTGTGTCTGCTCCTTCTCCCGGCCCCCCTTGGAGCTGGTCCTTGCCCTGTGTGGGAGATGCTACCCTACCCGCTGTCTGCTTTTGTCTGAGGCCGCATCTCCACTCTACATCGATCCTCCCCCACCGTGACAGATTCCCATCCCCGCCTGTGAAAGACCCCCCTCCTCCCCTCACCCTGTCTGTGAAAGGATCCCTACTCAGAGATACTCAGCCGAGGAGCCTGGAATCCTCCAGTCTATGACCTTAGCCTTGAATTTCCTTGGATCTTCTCAGTCACCCAAAGTGCATGGCAGTGGCCCAACCAAGCAACCCCAGCTGGGCTTTTTGAAACATCTGAGCTCCACCCATCAAGTCTCTCTCTCTCTCTGTCTCTCTGTCTCTGTCTCTGTCTCTCTCTCTCTCTCTCTCTCTCTCACTCTCACTCTCACTCTCTGAACGCCTGGAATTTTAAGTTTATTGCACAAAAACACTGTTGCAATAACAAACGGATACTCTGAAAGACAAAAATTATCCCTTGACTTTGGATGTTTTTTTCAGAATTAGAGTGTCTGCAGCATCTCTTGAAAGTCTGCCCACCGCTGGTTATCTCCTTAAAAGCCTGGTTTCTCTCCCAGGCAGCTTTCAAATGTCAGACAGATTTGGATTCTGGCAAGATCCCTATATGTCAACCTTAGTGAAGATTTTAAGTGACAGGCCCTTGAGTGGTAACTGAGGAACCTTTGGATCCCAGGAAAGAGTCACTCTGCCCTTGGCCCAGTGTCCTTCCTCACCCACCCTGCACGGCTTGGCTAAGAATAGATTATGAGAACAGTAGTGTCTCCAAGTCTCTTGCTTGTGTGTTTACCACATCTGGTCCCCAAGTCAGCCACTTTTCATGAGCACGTGGGAGCCCAACAAGGCCTCTGCTGCCTTACCCTGCCTGGGTGGGCTGGGGACCTAGCAGCCTGGCAAAAAAAAAGTCCCTCTTGTTTGGAGGTAGTAGCCATGGATTCTGGCATTTTTTCAAGTCTCTGCTAATTAATGAACTGATTCCTTGCCCTGGAAGGGACCTAAAGAATCATTTAGTGCTTTGTGTGATGGATATATTCACAACAACAACAACAAAAAGAGTAGCTGCTGAAGCTGCTTATGTGCAATCAAACACCTCAGGGGATTTTGTTCCTTGGTTTGGAGTTTGAGGGTCATGGTTTCATGGGACAGCCCAGTTCATTGGCCTAATAGTATGTGTAGTGCCTCTGTTCTGCCTCCAGTTTTTTGCACAGTGCCTGGGGTCTTAAAAGCTTGCAGGCAACCATCTAAGGCACAATAATTGACTGCTAACCAGAAGGCTGGCAATTCAAACCCACCAGCCACTCCTCGGAAGGAAGGTTAGGCAATCTACTTCCATAGTGATACTGCCTCGGAAACCCATGGAGGGGTCTCTATGAGTCAGGTCCGACTTGATGTCAAATAACAACATTCACCTGGATGTTCCTCACAACAGAGGAAGAAGGAGAGTTAGGAATAGGAGGAGGCTGTGGAATGTGTGGCTAATCGCCTCCATGAACAACAGCATCTTTTGCTAGGAGACCAGACAACCTAGATGGTGCCCAGCTACTATTACTAACATTTTGATCAAAAAGATTCCATAGAAAAATCCTAACCAAAAGGGGGAAAATAAAGAACAGATATTCAAATTCTCATGGATGCTAGACTTTGTGGAGCCATGGATGGTGGATGAACCTCTAAAACTATTGCCTTGAGATAATATTAAGGCTTAAACCAAAAATATCCGTGAAGTCTTCTTAAAACTAACCAGTAATATAGGTTAACTAGGGAAGAAAAAAAAGGTCTGCTTTGAGTGTCATGCTCTTTTAAGAACTATATGGGATCACATTGACAAAAGCAACTGGAAAGATGAGATAGGTGCCTCAGAGGGCCTTGAATTTGTAGTAATTAGGGAAGAGTGACTCAGAAAAGGCGAGTGAGAATGGTTGTGAGTGGAAGATTGTAATTGGAGTCACTAAATGGTACGTGTGTAGATTCTCAAGTACAACAAAATAAAATTTAAAGGAAAAAGAAGACCACTTGGTTCCCTTAGCTCTGTTAACAGCTGAGGAAAGGGAGGCTTAGAGAGGTGTTGTGACAAGTTAGATCTGAGTCAAGATTTGAACCTGGGTCTTTGAGCCTGCAGGCGAGCGCTTTGTGTACCAATTCCTTTGGAATGGAATTGGATGGTGCCAGAGGCCAGGTCTGCCTTTTTGGGAAGAGCCATGGTGTGGTAGGCAAAGCACGGGCTTGGGGCTGGCCAGCCCTTGGCTTAATCTGCACTTGCTGGTTGTGTGACTGTCATCCTGGACAAGTGACAGAATTGTTTTGAGCCTTGGATTCCTTATCAATGCTTTGCTCCAAGGGAGCAAAGAGTATTCTGTGGGACTGCGAACACACGTGAATGCTCCTGGCAGGTGCTCAATTATTACTAGTTTCCTGATCAAATAGCATAGTGCTTAAGATCACAGACCCCAGATTGGAATCCCAGCTCCACCTCTTGCCACGTCTACCTTGGACGTGACACTTCTCTGTGCCTCAGCTTCTTATTTGTAAAGTACGCTGCCACTGAGTCAGTTCCAACTCACCGTGACCTTATAGGACAGAGTCAAACAGCCCATAGGGTTTCCGAAGCTGTCATCTTTATAGAGGCAGACTGCCTTTCAGTTAGCAGCTGAGTGCTTAACCACCGCACCACCAGAGCTCCTTTTCATCTGTAAAATGAGTGTAATAATAACCCCTACCTCAGAGAATTACTTAGGTGACTAATATAACTAAAGTTGACTGCCATCAAGCCGATGCCAACTGATAGCGACCCCTATGGGTTTCCTAGGCTATAAATCTTTACGGAAGTAGATTGCCTCATCTTCTTCCTGCAGAGAAGCTAGTGGGTTTGAACTGAATAGAAGTAAAGTAGCAAGTAGGCAAAGCATGTACTAAGAGCTTAGAATGCGACAGCTGTCATGATCCGTAGCTGGTCTCCGGTTTTCTCCTTTTCCCTCTTTTGGACTCTGAAGTAAAGATCTAACTCACAATGTTGCTTCCTCCCCACCACGTCCCCACTCTCACTTCCACTTTGCTTCTCCGTCAGGTATTTCGTCAAAGTGGCCTGGGCCTGGACCTTCTGCCTCCTCCTGCCTTTCATTGCCCTCACCACCTACCACCTGACAGGCAAGACTGGGCTGGTCCTGCGGAGGCTGAGCACGCTGCTGGTGGGTACGGCCGTCTGGTACGTGTGTACCACCCTCTTCTCCAGCATTGAGCACTACACGGGCCGCTGCTACCACTCGCCGGCCCTGGACGGGCTCAGGCAGGAGCACCGGAGCAAGCAGCAGTGCCACGGGGAAGGCGGCTTTTGGCACGGCTTTGACATCTCAGGCCACTCCTTCCTGCTGACCTACTGTGCCCTCATGATTGTGGAGGAGATGGCCGTACTGCATGAGGTGAAAACGGACCGCAGCCACCACCTCCACACCACCATCACTTCCCTGGTCATCGGCCTGGGCACCCTGACCTTCATCTGGGTGTTGATGTTCCTGTGCACGGCCGTTTATTTTCACAACTTGTCCCAGAAAGTGTTTGGCACCCTGTTCGGTCTGCTGGGCTGGTATGGGACATACGGGTTTTGGTATCAGAAACCCTTTTCCCCAGGACTTCCTCCCCAGAGCTCTAGTTTGAATTTGAAACAAGACAGTTACAAGAAATAAAAGGTAACGAAAAGGGTGGCAGCGGGACAACGACTAATATATTTTTCATTTATTTGTCTTAGGTAGCTGGCTAAATTACCAATCTTCTGCAGAGAGGAAGTTTACCAGGCAGTGTTGGTGTGTGGTGGTGGAGTCTGGGGAGCAGGTTTGGTCCCTAGGTTTATCTTGGTGACATTGCTCTGTGTCACAAGCACCACTGTCCCAGCCAAGTCCTTTACGTCCCTGGCAAGACTTGCCCTTGGCCTTGGAACTTCCCTTTTGTCTCTAGAGGGCAGAGCCAAGGCTCAGTGAAAAGACAGAATCAGGAAAGCTTGTGCCATTTGGCTGAGAGGAGGCCTGGGGCCTCAGGACTCTTAGTGGTAGCCATTTCCCTGATTCTGGTGGTCTTTGGGTTTTAACAGCTATTAATGCTGTTGTTTAAAAATACTTCTCTCTAGTCCCTTTTGCACAAGCATTTATTTCAGACAGGGTTCTTTATAAAACAACCAACTGCCTGAAACGTACTCTCTGGTTGCTGTATCTGTTTATCTGGAATGTTAACTACTGCAACTGGCTTGTGGTTAGCTACCAAAACAGGCCTGTTGGACTGGAGTGCCTCTGCACTGGGATCATATGATTTTTACATCATGACCATGATTTTCTGTCAGTGATTTCTATCCATTTCTGTTGGTTTTGGAAGCAAAAAGATAGCCATGTTTTCTTCTCTTTTGAGTAAGTGCTTTATAGGTTTTTATAACAATGTGGTAGTTCTTTGTCAACAAAACTGAAAACTCAAAACGCCAGTGTTGCACTTTGGCCTATGTGTAGATTGTTTTGAGGGTTTTTGTAGAACACTAATTTACTTTTTATAAACCAAAACCTTGGTGTATGGTATTCGGTTCCACCTCACAGGGCTGTTTCTTCTGTTAAGAATACAGCAGGCAAGCAAGTGACTGAATAATAACCCGATGGAGTTGAAGCTGAGGCAGAGTTATTTTGCAAAATGCACCTTTGCACTGAAACGCTGCCAATCACACACCAGTGGTACAGACAACCATGCCGCAGAGTTGTGAGCATGTTGACTGCTCTGCTGTGGCCTAAGGCATTTTCACTTTTGAATAAGATTATGATAATTCAGAAGTAAAATAAAGCGTCTCCCATCGCATCAGATAGCAAAAAGCCAGCCTGATTGCAGAAACGTCCTTATTAAATGGTGGCATGAGTTTGGCCCCACTCTCCTCTTACTTGCACCACCAGTAACACCAAACGACCTCTTCAACTAGCCATGAAACTGACCTTCCTCTCCCCACCCCCTCTTCGCAGCACTTCTCAGTTTCCAGCCTTGTTATTCTGTGGCCTTGGCTCTGTGAGTGCCAGGAAGGGTTAGAAAGCCTGCCATCTCCATCCCACAAAGACACAGCCACACAGTGTGATGAGATTCCCCTTCTCCCCTCACCCAGGCTGTCCTTAAGTCTCTCAAACCCAGCCGCCTTAAGTTTTGGAAAATCACCCTCGGAGCTGCCTTTATACTCTCCCCTGGAGCCTGATAATAGTATTAACTGATAAGCACTACACTTGACTGGCTTAACCCAAGTTTAGTCTGTCAGGAGCTTGAGGCCTAGAAAGTCTCCACCGTACATTTTATTTTATATGAAGATGTATTTAAAATATGTGCTTCGCATGCTGTTGAGCTGCAGGTTAACTTTTGTCGCATAAATTGTGAGACATGATGTGTTGTCCCTAAAAGTGGCAGCAAGACATTGGAGGCATCACCATGGTGCTTTAGAAGCTTCGGCAAGACATGGTGAGCCCCGGTGAGAGAAATTTTGGCCCTCTGGAGTTTGTGTCCATAAACCCGGGGTGGTGGGTGCTTATTAAAGGAAGTGCAGTCTCTCCTAAGTGTCCTGTTCAGCACCAGAAGACAATAGGCATAGAGTGATCTGGAAGCTTGTGTGTGACACTTTCGTCCCCAAGCATTCTCACGAGGTGCAGAGGATTAAAGGATTCTGCAAAGTGTCGGTTCCCACAGCCACGGGATCTGGGCCTTCTGTATTGATCAGTCTGCCACTACTTGTTCATTCTTAGTGTCCTTGCTTTTTTCTTGGGAGCATGCTCTATCCCTATGTCAGACAGCATGGTTTAGGTGAAAGAGTTTGGGCTTAGGCAAACCCGAGCCCTGGCACCACCACTAAGAGTTGTATGACCATGGACAAGTTATTTAATCTCACCAAGCCTTGTTTTCCTCATCAGTAAAGTGGAGATGAAGATGTTCGGATTCAAGGAAGTGGTGTGAGTAAACAACCCTATGTACTTAACAAAAACATCCAACCTCATTGCTGCCATTGAGTTGATTCCAACTCCTAGTGACTCCCATTGGGTTTCCAAGGCAGTAAGTCCAAGGCAGAAGTAGATTGCCCCATCTTCCGTCCATGGAGCAGCTGGTGGGTTTGAACCGCCAGGCTGGCGGTTAGCAGTCAAACGCCTTAGGCACTGTGCCACCAGAGCTCCTGCCCTATGTGCTTCCCAGGCACTGATTCCCCACCCTACCCTCCCTTGCTTGTCTAAGCCTTTAGAACTTTTAGGTTCTTCCAGAAAAGGCAGGAGCAACTAACATTGTTCTTTTGAGTGCCGCCGGGGTCTAGGTCTCTGTTGAGATAGTCTCGTACTTTGCAAAGGGTCTGTTGTCCCCAGGTGCTGAACAAGAGGCTTTCGGGGGTGTATGTGATGGCACAGCTTGCCACCTTGTTTTGCCTCTCATGTTGAGGTTCGCTCACCGACCCCTCATTTTCCGCATGCATCTGTCATAGTCTGGGTACCAGATTGTATTTAGAGAATGACTTTTGCCACTGTTATACACACAGAGATTGTGTGTGTAAACAAGCAAATTGAAGTAAACGAGAGATAATGAAAGCTCACATTCCAGTGTTTTGTGTGTTCCTTTCTCATACCCTCCAGGAAGTCCAGTTAACATCAGCCCACTTTGTGAAAGTAGGCTAACTCTCAAACCAAAACCCTGCCATCGAGTCAATCCTGACTCATGGTGACCCCCGTTGGGTTTCCAAGGCTGTAACTCTTTATGGAAGTGGATTTCCTCATCTTCCTCCCACAGAGCAGCTGGTGAACCACTAACCTTCTGGTTGACAGCCAAATGCCTTCCCCACTGCTATGCCACCAGAGCTCCTTAATTCTCAAACCACTGGTCATATGTAGGGTGTTTCATCACTGTAGTTACTCCTGTTTTTCTCCCTAGATCCTGTAAACTAAGTTTTTCTTCATTCATTTAAGCAGAACACCGACATTCTTTCTTTCTTAGCTTGACTTACTCCTCCTCTTTCTGTCATATTCGTGTGTTACAGTGCTGAGGTCTGGATCGGCAAGACTTGGAAGCAAGCCTCTTGGCAAAAGGAGAAGAGATAGGCCTTACAGAAGGAACACTGAAGAACAGTTACAAAATTCACTTGAGCAAGGTCATCTGTGAAAAGTACTTTGTAGCCCTGGGGCCCTGTACACATGTGAGGGCCTCTCACTACTTCCCAGCCAATAAGACCTCCCTTCATCGGATCTCCAAGGCTGTAAATCTTTACAGAAGTAGATTGTCTCATCTTCCTCCTGTGGAGCAGCTGGTGGGTTTGAACCGCTGACCTTCTGGTTGACAGCCAAATGTCTTACCCACTATGCCACCAGAGCTCCTTTGCACACATTCCAGTGCCTACTCATTTGTCAGCCTGAACTGCTTGGCACTCCCAAGTAGTGTCTGTCAAGCTCCGTGGCTCCAGGGTTAGAATCTCCTCACACTGTAGAACTTCCCTGTTTAGATCCCTTCAACAGCAACAAGCCCTTCTAGACTCATGCTATGACCCAGGAGCTGGGCTAGCATGATGAACACCCTCTCTTCCTGGAATTTGTGTCAAAGCCTATCCTTTCGCAGTCTACAGTGTATGCTGAAGTTGCAAAGATGAAGTTGATACATCTCTACATCAGAAAAATCCTCGGTCTTACAGAGTGGATGCTTCAGGGACCTGCAGTAATCACCATAAGTGTTATGAATGCTGGGGCAAGGTCAGGGCCTAGGAACACAGAGCAGGGAACGTTTCACAGAAGAGAACAATCCTTTTGCGTCTTGAAGTGTTAAGGGGATGAATACAGCATGTGCAAATGAGACAGGCAGAAGGTGGCAGGACCTGAAGGGTTAACTAAGAAACACAAGCTGCAAGCATTTCTGCTGTAGCTGAAGACTAACCCACATCCTGACACAGGGTACGGAAGGAAGCAAGCAACCTATCCCGTTCCACACTCCCCATCTTGCAAGATATTTTCCAGGTGTTTGTGGCAACCTGACCTCCTCAGTACCCCACACTTGCAGACATCACTGGAAGATGACCACTGTATGACCTTCCTGGGGTGGTGGTATTGAGGCAAGGACACCAGCTGGGAATCGAACTGGTGCCCTGAGGAAGAGTGCATATGTGCCACCCCTTTCTAGGAAACTTCCACCCCCTCTCAGAAAATCCCCACCTGTTTCAAAACCCTTAAAAACCCCAGCACCTTTGTGCTCAGTGAGACAAAGGCTAGCGTTGCCTGGTCCCTCTTCGTCTCTGCTCATGAGCTACTCTCTCTTTCTCTTCCCTTTAAATGCTTTGTTGGTGTGGAAATTCTAAGCCTCTCCTCGTTATTCTTGGTCGGTAGAAAGAAGGCAAGAGCATGATGGGGCTGACCACTGATGGGGAAGGGCTCCCTGGAACACAAGGCTTATAGAAGTTACCATGATTTTCACGGCATGGTGCCTAAGGCATTTGCTAACTAGAAGGCTGGCAGTTCAAACCCACCAGCCACTCCTCGGAAGGAAGACTAAGCAATCTACTTCTGTAGAGATACTGCCTCGGAAACCCAAGGAGAGGGTCGCTATGAGTCGAGATTGACTTGATGGCAGTGATTTTGGTTTGTTTTGGTTTACCCCTTTTCAAGAAATATGACCTCCCTGTCATTTTCTAAAAGGAGCCCTGGTGGTGTAGTGGATAAGGCACTTGACTGCTAACTGGAAGGTCAGTGGTTCAAACCCACCAGCTCCTCTGTGGAAGGAAGA